ATGTATATATTTATACTATTAAGAAATATAACTAAAAGCCTTTTTATTCTGACCATTGGTGAATGATTATATTATAAATTTAAAAAAACACATCATAGATTATGACCCCCCTCCTCTGTAATACATTGTAACTCATCCTTGCATTGTTACCATAGACTATGAACAACCCTTTGTAATGCATATTAGCATTGGAGTAGTTTGTAAAATCTAATGTTGTTTTTGTTGTTTTTTGCTAGGAGAACGACGCAGAAGTTTTACAAATTTTATTTTCAGAAGAGGTAGTTTACGAGGAGAGAAAGAAAGAAATGTAGCTATTAGACCAATTTTTGAGTCCTTACCAGCCACTCAAGGACACAGGTGAGTACAATGTGCTTTCTAATTCAAACTGTAGCCATTAAGTAAAATATCTGCTTTTAAGTCAGTAACCTCTCTGTGTTTACCTTGGTAGCTTTTCTGCTCTTAAGTCAGTAGTTCCTCTGTGCTTACATCAGTAATTTTTGTGTTCTTAAGTCAGTAGTTTTCCTGTGCTTAACTTGGTAGATTCTCTAGTTTTAAGTCAGTAGCTTCTTTATGCTTAATTGTATAGATACTGGTTCCTTCTCTGCACATGTCACAAGGTTTTACTGAGTTACATTCAAAATTTAATTAAGCAACTTTATTATCAATGTGTGTCAATGAAATTAGTATTATAATATTCATTATAATTCAGTGTTTTGTATTATTTATGTATTAATTCCTATATTTCAAATAAAAAATCTTAATCTACAGTTTTGTTGTCCCATGATGCACAAGCATTTACAAGTCTTAGCTTTTAATCTTTGTAACTTAAGTAATTCAGTAGACCTTAATGTATAGACTGAAATTTCTCTGTTTACACATCCTCCCTTCAAATTCCTTAGGGCAAGTTCCAAGAATGGAAAAATAAGTATTTTGGGAACTCTTGATAGAAGCCACACCGACTTTCTACACATAGTCATAAGATTTCACACTCAACACTATTTATTTCTCCAGATGTTTATAACCAATAGAAATAGCTAATTTTACACTACAATTTTCCATTGGTTATTTTCAAATTGCCACACAGAATTCCATGCAAGTTCTTGAACTAACTCTTTTTATTGTTTCTACCCATACATGTATTAGTTAGATAGAAAATTAAATTGGTTTTAAGTTTTAGTTTTATATTTTAGTTAATTATGGGTTATTTATCTTTTAAAATGTAAGCCAAACTGCCTCAGTTCATGAGGCTTAGTGTGTTGGGTGAGTGTCCCAACATTTTGATGAAAGCTAAAGTGGCTCTAGTGTTGATGCCACAATATTGCCCGAGGATGCCCTTTGATGTATGTCATGAGAAGTAATAATGCTATTGGAAAATAAAACATTGAAAATAAACTATATGTGAAAATGTAAAAACTTTACAAAAAATAACATAACAATAAGAAGATCTTTTAAGATAATTCAGTATACAATTAAAAGGTATGTAAATTTTTTCTATTTCTTAATTTTAAACATTTCATTGCACTAAATATTGATGATAACACTCGAAATATTCAGCCTGATTGCAAATAACTACAGTATCAAATCTTTTAGTTAAAATACTTAATTAAAGCTATCTAATTCTTTGTGTACTTGTAATCTTTAACAAAATCTTACCAATTACTGTAAAGATACGTAAAGAAAGCTCAGAGTTAATATAAGTACTGTTGGACTATGTATCATTTTCCATATGAGAAGTAAGTCAAATGGGCACATACTGCAACCATATGGTTAAGTCAATAGCTTCTATGTGCTTAAGTCTGTAGTTTCACTTTGGTTAAGTTGATAGCTTTACTCTCTTTGTAATGATGGATTCACTGTGCTCAGGTCGATGGATTTACTGTGCTTAGATTGCAGTAAAACCATCAATCTAAGCATAGTAAATCCATCACTACAAAGAGAGTAAAGCTATCAACCTAAGCACAGTAAATCCATCATTACAAAGAGAGTAAAGCCATCAACCTACGCACAGTAAATCCATCGACTTGAGCACAGTAAATCCATCATTACAAAGAGAGTAAAGCCACTTTTTGTAATGATGGAATTACTGTGCTTAGGTTGATGGCTTTACTCTCTTTGTAATGATGGATTTACTGTACTTAGATTGATGGTTTTACTCTTTTTGTAATGATGGAATTACTGTGCTTAGGTTGATGGCTTTACTCTCTTTGCAATGATTGATATACTGTTATTAGATTGATGGCTTTACTCTTATTGTAGTGATGGATTTACTGTGCTTAGGTTGATGGCTTTACTAAGTTTCTAATGATAGATTTCCTGTGCTCAGGTTGATGGCTTTATTCTGTTTAAATTGATAGATTTCCTGTGCTTAGGTTGGTGGCTTTATTCTGTTTAAATTGATAGATTTCCTGTGCTTATATTGGTGGCTTTATTCTGTTTAGATTGATAGCTCCACTTTGCTTAAGTTACCAGTTACACTGTGTTTAACTTACCAGTTACACCGTGTTTACGTTACCAGCTTCACCATGTTTATTTATGAGATACACTGTGTTTAAGTTATGAGCTACACTGTAATTAAATGAAAATTTTGAAGATTATCAAACTTTCCAAAACTACTTATTTCAGTTTCATTTTAAAAGTAAAATGTTATTTTAAACATGATATTATGTATTTTGTCCTTTTTTTTTTTTTTGCCCTTCTGATTACAATAACTTTTTACTGCTTCCCCCTCCATCAGCACCTAGAAATTTCGTAAGATAAAGTTTTTAACTGAAGGTATATAATTCTAGTGCTTTTTTCTCAATACTTGCCTTATTTTGGGTCTGTCATTTAATTACTATCCCTTTTTGTTCTGACTGGTCTAAACTAGACAAGCACCTGAAAAACCTGAAGGCAAACTGGAATGCCTGAAAATGAAAAATGCTGTACTGTGTACAGTTCTTTTCTCAGAATTCCTTAAAGAACTCGCTGCCATTAGCCAGGAGCACTCTGTTATTCAAGCAGATCCGGAGTTTTGGACAATGGATTCGATGGCTTATGATAACATTTAGCAGGCATGCTAAACCATCATTATCATTTAATATACAATTTTAATTGTGTATATATACACTGATTCATTCTAAAGATATTGTTGAAAAATTAAAACCAAAATAAGTTGATAATGGCTCTGCATAACCCTAAAACACACAAAGAAATGACTAAATTACTTATTGGTGATTCAAAATAATGGTACCTGTATATAGAAAAACTTAGGTGTTGACACAAAATAAGAGCCAAATTTTATAATAATGAATTGATTAGGCCTAGCCATTGAATGCATGTTAATAGGTATCCTTCAAACTTATTTTGTTTCCTGTTTTTATAGATAAATGTGTGATAATTATGAAAAGTCATAGTTTATTCAGGTTTTCTGAAATCTAATGATTCCTATAAAGTAGTGTGATTCATTTTTGAAGTATTAAGGTTTTTAAGCAGCCTTAAAAGTTCATAAAATTGTTGATCCTGTGGTTAGATTTTTATTAATCAAAAGTTAGTGTTAGGAATATAAATATCGAAAAAATTACAAGGGTATTTTTCTAATCTCCATATCATGATATGTGGTTTGATTACATCATAGTAGTCAAGTTCATGTGATTTTATACAAGTTATTTATAATTATGTGTACATTTTGGAATTGTCAGCCTTGAGGTTTTGTAAATAACTTTTGTTGTGATTATTGTGTTTTAAAATAGTAATATTTCCTGTGCTCACAAACTGCAACTTTGATTATCATATGTTTTTTAACTAAGATTTATATCCTAAAACAGAATATTTCAAGCAAATAAATACAGCAAAACAAACTACACAGTTAATAATCAGTTGTTTAAATACTTTTAACAAAATCTAACAAATGTATCATAGGTTTCAAGAGTGAATGTTCATTTGTGCCTTACCATATCTTTTTATGAATGGTTGTCTTAGTTATTAAATGGGTAACTAGCAACTTATAACAAAATCACCACACACCGAGAAACTTGTTTTAATAAACTCTTTATGAATCTGAATTGATCCTATCATTAGTATGTGTGTTTTACATCTTTATCAATCTGAATTAATCCTATCATTACAGTGTGTTGTGTTTTTACATCTTTATCAATCTGAAATAATCCTATCATTAGTGTGTGTGTGTGTGTGTTTTACATCTTTATCAATCTGAATTAATCCTATCATTACAGTGTGTGTGTTTTGCATCTTTATCAATCTGAATTGATCCTATCATTAGTATGTGTGTTTTACATCTTTATCAATCTGAATTAATCCTATCATTACAGTGTGTATGTGTGTGTGTTTTACATCTTTATCAATCTGAATTAATCCTATCATTACAGTGTGTGTGTGTTTTACATCTTTATCAATCTGAATTAATCCTATCATTAGTGTGTATGTGTTTTACTATCTTTATCAATCTGAAATAATCCTATCATTAGTGTGTGTGTGTGTTTTACATCTTTATCAATCTGAATTGATCCTATCATTACAGTGTGTGTTTTACATCTTTATCAATCTGAATTAATCCTATCATTAGTGTGTGTGTGTGTACTTGCTGAAAGTTTTCTTTGAGGGAAAAGAAAAAATCTCTATTGAAAATAATCACAATAGTTTAAAAAATTTATAAGAAATAAATAGTATATTGCACTTTTTAATGCCAGTTTACTAAATAAAACTGATAAATGAAACTTAATTATTTAAAGCGTTTTTTCAGTATGTGCAGTATATTCAGAATTACAAGTTGATATTTGTAACAATACTTAGAATTAAAAACAAAAATGAGATTAATGACAACAAATAACTTAATTGGCGAGGTAGTAAGTTAGCAGTAAGTTGCTAGACGTACAAATAGAGGATGAAGTGGAAACAGAAACAGATGGTCTTCAAGGTATACAAAATGTAATATTTGAGGTATGACCAATGAATAAATCAACAGACCAGAGATCAAGAATTGATAATCAATGGCAAGAAAAACATATGGAATTGATAAGTATGCAGTCAAAAAAGTTAATCACAAGTGAAAACAATGTGAAATAGATAAGTACACAGTAAAAAGTTAAGTACTAGTGAAAACAATGTGAAATAGATAAGTACACAGTAAAAAGTTAATTACTAGCGAGAACAATGTGAAATAGATAGGTACACAGTCAAAAAAAATGTATTAATAGTGAAAACAATGTTAAATGGATAAGTACGCAGTCAAAAAAGTTGACACTGCTGAATCCAAATATTTACATACGATAAACTGTTGAAGAACATCTAGCGATAAAGGTGAATAATCGGGTTATTAGATATCTTCACACTGATGGATAAAGATGAATAGTGTGGTTACCAAATGTCTCTTCACACTAATGAATCAAGATGAATAGTCTGGTTACCAGATGTCTCTTCACACTAATGAATCAAGATGAATAGTCTGGTTACCAGATGTCTCTTCACACTAATGAATAAAGATGAATAATCTGGTTACTACATGTCTATTCAAACTGATGGGTAAAGATGAATAGTCTGGTTGATAGATGTCTCTTCACACTGATGGGTAAGGATGAAGAGTCTGGTTACTAGATGTCTCTTCACACTGATGGATAAATATGAATAGTGTAGTTACTAGGTGTCTCTTCACACTAATGGGTAAAGATGAATAGTCTGGTTACTAGGTGTCTCTTCACACTAATGGGTAAAGATGAATAGTCTGGTTACTAGGTGTCTCTTCACACTAATGGGTAAAGATGAATAGTCTGGTTACTAGGTGTCTCTTCACACTAATGGGTAAAGATGAATAGTCTGGTTACTAGGTGTCTTTTCACACTAATGGGTAAAGATGAATAGTCTGGTTACTATATGTCTCTTCACACTGATGGATAAATATGAATAGTCTGGTTACTAGGTGTATTATCACACTAATGGATAAAGATGAATAGTCTGGTTACTAGATGTCTCTTCAAACTGATGGGTAAGGATGAATAGTCTTGTAACTAGACTTTTCTTTTACTGTGTGAGATATTGTTTATTGATAATGATTAAAATATATCATTCATGTATTAATGAAAGTGATCACATGTATAGTATACTTTTGCATGTCATTTAATTCCTGGAATACAATGGTCTTAATTTTAGTGATAGAGTACATTATAGAAAGTTAAGTTCCTGATGCAGGTCTAAAGGCAAAATGTTAAGCAAATATAAGCTTCGTAAGATTCTTCTGGGGTTGACACTGGTGTTTTTATATGAATAATGTTGATTGTATAACTGAGCTTATTAATATTAGTATTTTACAAAGTTCATAAAACTCCATTAGCAAATCCGAAAAAGATTAGTTATCGTCTTCACATTTTAATTGTACTTCTTTCTCACCAGCATGACTGTTATATTGATCTAGTAATTTAAAATTCTGAATGTGATGATACATCTTAAAGCATTTCTTTTAACTAAGGTTGTTTTACTATGGTAATGAATTGTTGTAAATTATAAAAATGTTCATTATTTTTTGTAAATTGTAATCATAGCAGAATTGGAAAGGTTGTGGTATTTTGTAAAAAAAAACATTATTTAATAAATGTATCCTGTTAGATGTATTTACCTCAAAATTAAATATTCTTTTGTTTAAAAACTTAAACACTTCTGTTTTGTGAAGCTGAAAGAACATCTTCAAGTTATGTTTTTGTGTAATACACATCTGATGATTGTTTGGAGTTAATAAATGATGATGCTCTTCAAAATTCAATGTTTTTAACTTGTTAAAAAACTGAGATGTTGTTTTTACCTTTCAAGGATAAACTCTTGTTGTTAAATAAGTTTAACAGATCACATCAACTTATCAAATGTGTGGTTTCTCTGCACTGCTTCATTTTTTAGCAAGTTGTATTACATGTAAGAAAATTCCAGATCTAAATTGGTAAAATTGGTTTTACCTGCTCAAAAACATGCTTGCTAAAATGTACAAAAAGTATTGTGGAAAAAAAATAAACAGCTCTTAAGAATTCACAGAGTATGAAATGATGATACCTTTTGAGTGTTGTTGTTGGACATTTATCAGCTTAAGTAAGTGAGATATCATGAAATTACAGGTAATGTTTCTAACATTTATTAAGATTGAAAAAGTCATAAATACTGAGTTTGGCTTAAAATGTTTTACAAAAATCCACCATGCAATGTATTGTTCAGTGAAAGAATGTTTCTCAATTGACATTTAGTTTGTTACAGCTTTAAACGGTTTTATGATACATTATTCATCAATTTTAATGGTTTAAATACAGTTGTTAGTAAGTTTGTTTCTTGATTTGAATCCTAGTTCTTTATTTCAGTTTTAAACATTGTATGATACTCTCTTCATCTGTTTCAATAGTTTAAAAATATCTGTTTGAAGGTATGCTTCTCAGTTCAACCTAAGCCACAACCCAGTTCTAAAAGAGTTGGGCTTACTACAACACCCTTCAGCAGAAATTGTCTGTTGTGTTTCCCTTAGTCTGTGATCAGACCTGACTCAAGTTCCTCTAGTATTCTGGAGCCAAAACAACAGCAGTTAAAACTTGCTATCCAGTCAGTTGGAATGAAGTGTTCTGTCTATCCTGCTGCCCAGCAAAATATTGGAAATACCCTTGCATTCCACACTAGCAATTACTCTGTTCCTCCTTTCCAGAGCAACATATGGGTAGAGACATTGACTGTGGCACAAACATCATGTGAGGGTCTCCATAGCATTGCCCATTTTCTGGTATCCATCCTGTTTGTGCCACAATGCCAGGATGTGTTTGCAGCAGTCCTGCTTTAGACAGGATCCAAGATTGACAGGAAGCACCCGCTTGATCAGGATGGTTTTTGCTCGGAGTCACCACAAGAGCTGCAGCTGTTGAATTCTTTGACTCTTATGACTTGTCTGAGGTGACCACCTCGTACTCCATTGACATAGATACTGCCTCTGTGAAGATGCTAATATCTTGTGCCCCCAATGGTGCCTCATATTCTCACTTGGCAAAAATAATCAGAAATAACTCTCAAATTCTTTGAGGGATCTTAATGTTGAATGTCAAATTGTCTGATTGGTGGCTCAGTTTTCCACTGGGTAAAAACAATAGCACAACTTGGCCATTACTGCATCTCAGACTTCCATAAGATATTTGATAATATACGGGGCTAGACCATCTAAACTCAGAATCTGGCATTCCATTGCCTGTTTCTGAAACTACCAAAGCATTGATTTGCCTAAATTGCCTTAAGAATCAGACCAGATCGTCTTTAACTGCCCCAATAAACATTTGAAGAGGAGACCTGCTTTGCCCCACCATGTTTGCACGTCGTGTGTGATGAGATGCTGTCTAATAATGAGGTGCCTGAAGCCCACACTGCCAAATGTCACTGAATGACAAATGATAGGGTGTAGCTCATCTACCTGTTCTACGGGATTTTGGATCACTACACATTTCCCATCATGATGAGCTTCCCCACTGCCCCACAGATCACGTCATTAATTTGTGATTGACCACTGTCTCGCCTACCAGCAATACAGCTGGTGATTGTTGCCCATAAGTATCACCTTACTTTTAGCTATCGATTTGGCTGGGTGTCTCCTTTGTGGAGAGGCCACCTCAGGTCCACAATCACCATAATATTTGGTAAATGCCCACAGTATTGCCTACTGGCGATACAGCTCCTGGTGGTAACTATTATCCTCCAACTCTACCTCTTATCTGGTTCTTAGCTGGGTAGGATGCCTTCCTTCATGGAGAGGTACCCCACTGATTACTTTCCCTAGCAAGTGCCCATTGTTTAACTTGCTGGCAAAACAGCTTACGTTAGTGGCGTTCATCCACTAATGCTACCTTTCATCTCTCCAAACGCTACTGAAAGTGGCATTGACCAGAGCCAGGTCTCTGCCTCTTTGGTCGGCAAATAGCTAAAGGTTCTATAAAGACCAACTCCTCTCATTCTTGGACACCCTAGGCTGCACATTATTCTAACAACTCTTGGTTGACTGGGCTGAACTTATGCAAATGAAGAACTTCATCATCCCTTCTTGGTGCTCCAGATGGTGTCTGTTCTCCATCCACATATTACAGGTAACTATGCAAAATAATTAAGAAGGATCTCCATCTGGAAAATGAAACAAGTAATCATGCTGTACATACAAAGACATACCAGTGAAGTCGCCAGACTCAGTGCCTATGAATTACTATTTGATCAGATTGTTGAATTGATCACTGGGTAACCACCATTCTCGTACATTAGATATATTACACAATAAAGCAAGGAGAAGTGGTGTTCTTTGGAATTGATAGCCTTGCAATGCAGTCTTTTGCGATGGAAACTACACTGCAAAGCACATGTGAAGATGAATGATTGTCACATAGACCATAACTGGACGTGGCAACGTGGGCAGTAACGACGTGATGAAGCTCTAAAATCGTTTTAATATAACATACACAACCTCTATAGTTATAGTATCCAAAGTACTGCCTAAAGACTCTTGGTAACCATGACAATACAAGGTGCTTCTCCGGTGGATATTTCTAGGTAGCTGTTCTACCCATTACCACACCGTTATCTATGAGTTGATATCATCAAAAAGTAAATATGCATAGCTAAATTGAGACTTTGCAACCAAAATGCACACAACCCGTATGAATATTCATGCTGTCCATCACCACGTACACTGACACACATTCAGACTTATCTAGGCTTAGTACAACATTCAACAGCAAAATAAATTTGTTGTCCTAAACAGCTACAGAAACAAGCAACTGAACTATCTTCAAATGTTGTTGCTCGACATGAGTCAATGTGCTAATTGTAGTTGGCAACGTACAAAATTAAGTAAAATCATGATTTATTACAGCATGATTCCTATTATATAAGTATTAGAAGAAAATTATCGCTAAATGAAAAAGCTATGTAAGACTGGCTACTGAACTTGGAAAAAAAAGAAACCAAACAAGATATGGAGGGAAATGGACACTTTACTTGATCTGGCTAATGATCATGTAATAGACTAAGCTATATCGACTTTACATGAAGAATAAAATCCTTACATTAATGGCTTCTCCACTTTGTCTATCGAAAGCTTGGTGTTTGAATAGAATCTCAGCTCTCATCATTATACATATTGTTGCGTCAGCGAGGTCACGTGACTAGTATCACGCCACGTCCTTCTCGAACCTTCATGAATTATCGAGAGACTACTAGATTGGGGGTAGGCTGGTATATATAAGACGGTCACAACGTGACGTAACAAGGTAATGAGTAATTGAACTGCAGTCAGAGAATGTGTAATTGAACTGAGTATTGTCGAGCACGTGAGACGTTCTTTGAGAATTATAGCGATTGTTATAGAGCTACTGTTGAAATTAAGTGTATGTTAAAGTTGTATTCGGAAAGAATAAACCAGTTTTATTTAAGAAAGGACTTGTGTCGCTAAAGTTTCGTCGGAAAGAATTTACGGAAAATTAACTAACGAACGGAGACGTAACAATATCCTTTAGTTAAGTTTAAAATACTAGTATTATTACTATTTTACAATAGATTAACATTTTATGATTGGAAATTCTGGTTATATTTGTTTTGCTAGTGAGGAAGCCAGTAATGTAGGGATTTTATTCTCCATGTAAAGTCGAGACAGCTTAGTCTATTGCATGATCATTAACCGGATCAAGTGATATATCAATTTCCATCCATGTCTTGTTTGGTTTCCTGTTTTTCATATTCGGTAGCCAGCCATACTTTTTTGTATCAGATGACGTACATGGGCTACTAGATTATAAATTTTGCATGGAATAATAATAGAATAGGTAGTCAAAGATCATGAACACTGATTTGTTCTATCAAAATATAATCGAATTATAGTTATTGTTAAAACTATGTATGCGCTAGGCCTGTTGAAGAAAAATGATGATGAATGAAAATAAGAAATCTTGGTTTTGGCTATTCGACTTTGGGACACTCTGGATAGTTGAAAAGCGGCATATACACTAGAGATAGAGTGAATATGCCAGGTAGCTCTTCATATCTAGCTTCTGGTGACCTGTATAGAAGAAAATCCACATGACTTTTATATTGCTTCAAGTACTAGCATTCTCTCTCTCTCTCTGAGGCTCGTTAAGAGAACAACTTCAGTCTGAAAATAATGCATAGGAGACAAGCTATGGGCGTTTCTACATAAAAACACACTTACGTACGCATAAATCTGTTAGGACTCATACCTGAAGCTATAGGCGTTTCTACATAAAAAACATACTTTTTCAACTGGAAAATGTTACAGCATAATCTTCTCCTATAAGTATGATTTGTACAGTTCTTGAACATATAACTACTGAAAAACCTTGTGCCAAAAATCTAACATTTTTCCACCTTGATAAAGGTGACTACTGTTTTTCACATGTGTTCCCTTTACCATATTATATTTTACCTAAAATAAAAAGGCTAAAAACACACAAATAATAAGAATGTTTTCCCTTTTGCTGCCGTTTTTCTGTGATAATATTTCAGCTGCCGACTTTGTTTACCATCTATTCTGAAAATACAAATATGAAACCATCACCGAAATGCATATCACCTCTGTATATTAGCAAAGACAGGTGTAGAAATCAGTGTGATCTCCTTTACATTTCTATAGTAAATCCAGCTACAGTAGGCTATTAAAAATAGTTATCTTGTATTAGACTACTTCCACAGATCATAAACGTAAGCTTTTATCATAATGTGGCATTATAATAAGAAGTGCAAAGCATATATAAGGAGTTGAATTAAAATAGTGATCTCCTATACTCATTCTGTGAACTCTTTTTTTACATGCATCTCACTATGTCCCCAATTATCTGTTTTTATAAATAGATCCCTAATTATCGCTCACAGATTTAGCTTTGTAATTTATCAGTCATTTAAACCTAAAACTACCACCCCACACACCACTTGAATATTAGTTACACAGTTAAAGAGATACACACACCTGTTATTTAATCCTACTTTCAGGGACTTTTTTGTAGGAAA